GGTTTTAATGAACTGCATGAACACAGACGTTGTAATTTGTACATAGTGGAATAAAGCCAAACTCTGCCAGTTGTAGTTTCTTCAATAAATCATGTTTCAACAAACCATGATTAGTGTAATATGCAAATCTAGTTTTTACATGTTGAAGTACCTGTTCAAGGCTAAAAAGAAAAAGACAGGTTCTTCTTGTGGGATCAAAATAAAATGGCAAATCTGTTGCATAGGTATTTGATGACTGACTATAGTGAGCCACAATATGATATTTAATGATAACCCACCCATTCCTGGTTGGTTCAGTAATCATAGTTATGAAAATTATAGCTTAATGTATGATCTTAGTTATGTTAACTACCTTTTGGGAAGCAGTCCAAGTGTGTAGGACAACCCAGGGATGTCTCCTTAGAAATCTTAAGTTTGATGAAACTTATTCCCAGGCAGATGTATTTGTAAGATGCAACCTTTTATGTAAACAAGAAGCTCTACCTCATGTGATACACTTAATATTTTTCCCCCCTGTTCGATCTTGTCCAATTCTCAGAGACTGCCAGGACAAGTTCCTGCAGTTTTCTTGGCAAGGTTTTTCAAAACCATTGCCAAGCCATTGCTTCCTTCCTAGCACTGAGAAAAAAAATCACAGGCCTAAGGTCAACAGCTGGCTTTGTGCCTAAAAAGGGACTAGAACTGATAGTTTCCTGGTCTCTAGTCTGATTCCTTAACCACAATGTACGCCAAACTGGCTGTCAATGAATGAAGTACAAGCCTTCTAGGTTTTCACAAAATGTAACTCCTTGTAGAAAATAAAATCAGTACTCTTTATTGCCTTAATTAGCAATAAACATATAGAATATACCTCTAAAATATGGGGTAACTCTTCCATAGAGACACTATTTATCCATTTGTCACATACCTAAGGAGAAAAAAATCCAAATATATACTGTAAAGTACTGAGTTTTGAGGTAGCTCAACTCTCATTACTTTCGTTGGCCCAAATTAGCACTGAAGTTTGCCGCAGTACCAAATATACAACAGTTACAAACGCATATATAAATTTGATATTGGGAAATAAATGTAAATTCTAAATACCAGCAACATTTTTATTAGGAGCAGCCAAAATGTAACAAATTAGCATTTATGCAAGATTTCAAATTTTCCACTGTCCCTTACAACAGTGTTTTTCAACCTTTTTTGTGCAAAGGCACACTTTTTTCATGAAAAAAATCACGAGGCACACCACCATTAGAAAATGTTAAAAAATT